GAAAGTGGCACGGGGTTTGGTGGGGACGATAGAGCGTGGCGTACTGGCGTGCGATGGGGAAAGTGAGGTCTGGCCTGGTCTGGTGCGCGACGTGTGCGTTTCTGGTTGAGCAGAGGAAGGAAGTAGTTGGATGGGCCGTGATCGGTTGAGCCCAGAACAATATGGGCCTAAGGACTCAGGCAATCATGGGTGCGCCAGCAGGAAGTGTGTACTCTTTTGGGCCAGGCCGTATCAGGGTCCGATGTGAACCAGAAAGATTGCTAAGCATCACCCATTTGATGTTTCTCAAAAAAAAAAAAACATTTGATAATCTACCAACTTGCACTTGATTGATAGACCTGAATGAATGTCTGATTCCACTATAAAGGACTGGAGCTTAGATCTGAAGGTGGCAACTGGCATGCATATGCAAGTGTGCAGTAAAGAATGAAATTATTTCTTATGTGATCTGAAAATATCTGATGATAAATTAAGATAGCTCGTGGTGACAGCAAAGAAATAGGCTGCGTGACCATGAACAGCAAAAGAAAAGTTCAGAAAGACAGGGGTACTTGGGACGCATGCATGGACGAATTGCTTCGTCGGTAAGTCTGGATTCATCGCTTCCTTTATGCTGTTTTCTCTTGCTTTTCGATTACTATATTGTTATACTATCAGTCCTTCAGATGTACAGTACAGTAGAAATTTCCTTATCACTTCAACTAGTATGATGCTAACTTGGAATCTCTTCTAAATAACCATTAGGGCCGTTTGATCCTTGGAATCGAATTTATTCTAATAATTACAATGTAGACATAGATTAATTAAGCTAATATAGTTATATATAGAATATATTTGTATATTTATTATTAGGCATACCAGGGACATACTTAAAAGAACTGCTCCAATACTCCTCTTTTAAAAATTGCATACATCTCAAAGCAGCCCATCTAATTAATTCATTATTCTTTTTAATTATTTTCCACTGGATCGCTTGTGGGCTGGGTCCGTCCAAACCCAGCCCCTACCTTGCCTAGGCCCAAAGCCGAACTCATCTCTCCCCAATCCCCTTCCCTAGGATTCCGTTCGTCTTCCATTTTCGTGAGCCAGCAAGGAGGATTCTTTTCCTCGTGTGCTGGCAACCGGCAAGGAATGCATGGCAGTACTTCTATCCCCCCTCCTCGACAAGTGATGCCATTTGATTCCTAGAGAGAACGTCCGGCGCCGCCGTTCCATTTCGCGTGAGCAGGTCCGTGCCGCTTCCTGACGGGCGTCCGCTGCCGGCTGCTACCCGCGTGCGAGGACGGCCACCGCGGCGGCGGCTATGGACGCTGCCGCTGGTGCTGTCGACGAAGTAGTGCATCAAGGTGCATTTGAGATCTGTGCATCAAGGTGCTGCCGGCTGCTGACGAGGGAAAGTAACGAGCGGGAATATGAACCATGGGGGGCGGGATGAGTTCGGCTTGGGTATCGGCTAGGCACGGGCTGGGCACGGGCTTGGACGGGTCGGGCCAACGTGGGATCCATGTGAAAAAACAATTCAGAAAATATCTAATTATTTGGCTAGACTGCTTTGAGATCTGTGCATTTTTTTTTTTTAGGAAGAGGAGTATTGGACAAGAAGCCCATACTTATATGTTACATTTCTATTGTAGGGAAGTGAGTTGAAAAGTGTGCTATAAATTAGATAGTAGAATTATAGCATAATGATCTATAGAATTTATTTCCATCTCCCACCTTATAAATTTGAGATAGGCTTATTTGTGAGCTTGGAAATGTTATGGAATGTCAAATTCCAAGCCAAATAACTTAATCCATTATGTATATTTCAATTCCTCCAAAATAAAGGGATCCAAACAACACCTTAATGTAAGAATAAGGAACTGCTGGTGGCCGATCTCGGACCTCTAACTTCTCATAAGGATGTGTGTCGACAGTTAAGAAACTTGAATGAATGGCTGCTGTTTATAGAAGCTATATACAGTTTCAATGCATAACCCAACCTTTAATTAAGGAAAACAATTATGTATGAACCTCTTTCAAGGATACACTGAGTTTTACAGAGACACAGCAAAAGCATTAACAAATTTATGTCGCTCTTATTATTCTCTCCAAATTCTTGCACGTGGGACCGACACTGGAATTGCATGGACATGCAGAAAGGAAGAACTTTGCAGATGCAGATGATGCAGTACTGCGTGCGCGAGGAGGGATACATTTTTTCCTACTAGTGTTCTTCGACCAAGAGCCTGCATAAAACCGCAAGCTCTCCCCTGTTTTGGTACATGCTCCAGCCACACATGGCGGACGTGGTCTCTGACTTGGTCTTGTCCTTCTTCTTCTGCTGCTGCTACGCTCCCGGCGACCACCACCGCGGCGTCGGCACGCACCACTACAGCGGCGGCCACGCCCACCCGACCGGCCGCGATGCGGCGTATCACCACCGCGGTGCCGGCAGCCGTAAGGTGAGCAGCCGGAGCAGGTCCGTGTCCCTGCAGGTGCGCGCTTACGCTTAGACCCTGAATCGACTGCAGATTCTTTTTTATTTCATGTACAGTATGAGACTTCTGGGTCGTGAACGATGAGTGAACTGGACTAACCAGAGCTGAGCTGCATCCAGACGGTGGAGCTTAAGGTGAGGATGTGCTGCGTGGGCTGCGAGAGAGTCGTACGACAAGCCCTCCAGAACCTCCGAGGTACACACGACACACATGCTCTGTTTCTTCTCCGGATCAAGCAAAAATCGTATTGGACAGCGATATGGTCAGCGCAGCACGAAAGATCGAAGCACACGGCTGTGCGATCTTCTTATCTTACAGATGACATATCCACACATTTGCTATATATATGTCACTATACACAGGAGTGGACAGAGTGGATGTGAACGTGCCAATGGAGAAGGTGACGGTGACCGGGTACGTGGACCGGGCGAGAGTGCTGCAGGAGGTGCGGCTGAGCGGGAAGAAGGCGGAGTTCTGGCCGAGCGGCGGCACGCCGCTGTGGTTCACGTCCCCCAGGAGCTACTTCCGCGACGACGGCGGCTCGTACCGCCGCGACAGCTACAACTACCGCCGGCACGGGTACAGCGACGGCGACCGGCACGACCGCATGCGCGAGCCCGCCCGCGGCGCCGGGCCCGTCGGCAACATGTTCAATGACGACGACGTCAACGCCGCGTGCCGGATCATGTGACCCATCCATGCGGATGTTGCCGTTGCTGTTGCTCTGCTAGTCTGGTTTCAGTTTTTCGCTTCTCATGGGCTCGGTGCAATGGATCGTGAGTTGATCCAAATGGTGGACCATACCTCCCCTCGAGCTTCCGGTCTTGGGTCCCCCTGTCTCTGTCTCTCCCTTTTTTAACCAATCTCTTTCCCTAATTTGTTCCATGATGAACTGATCGATCCAAATTGATGTGACTACAGTTGTTACTATCCGAAAACTTCGCTTTCTCATCACGAAACAGGGAATGGTATTCAGATTTCAAAGAGAAAAGGTCAACTTATATAAACTTTAACTAACAATTATTCAAATTATATATAAGTTTAGAACATGAAATTTGTATCAATGGATGTGTATTCAACGTGCCTCTTTGATTATATGATTATTTATCAAGTGATAGTTTATAGTAAGAGAAATTAATGATCAAAATCTATTTATTTAACTTTGTAATGATCCAAATACATCCTTTGGATGTGTGTTATAGGAATAGAGTGTGTGTGTATACATTTATAGGGTTGAGTATATGTATATAAGTGTCTGCGTTGTACTATAATTCACAAAAAAATATACTTATCATATAGGGATGAAGGGATTAATTGTTTCAGATGACAAGCATGAGCATATTTTTATATAATTTTAATTAAAGTTAAGATAGTTTGACTAGATGTTAGTATTATCGAATTGCATTTAGAATTTTAGATAGGTAAGATTGGGATTCAAACCTTAGACAAAAAGATCAAATATTTATTATTGCAGAATCCCCTATCTCGGCAGGACATCAATGCAAAATCTTGCAATTGCAAGTAGGTCATTGCTTCTACACCAAAATAAAAATCGATTCTAAAAACTGTTGGCAACTCCAAGCTAGAAAGAAATTTTCCTTTCTTCCTTTGCTGACTCCTTCTTAAAAAAGCAAATGTAATTATAGATTCAAATCAAATCATTTTTAAATTTGGTTGAATTTGTAGAAAATAGTATTACCATTTATACCTCTATTTATTATAAAAGAAATTCATCATTAATCTAATGGTACATTTAGTATCATAAATTTTAGTATTTTAAATTTTAAATTGTTTGAGTGAATTGATTTTTATACGGAGGAGGTACCCCTAGATACTAACACCGTTGCATTCTCCCCAACTTTACTAAAATTTTGTTCACCTCCTATCTAAATCGAAAAAAAAAAACTGACGAGCTGACCACACACGTCCGAACATGGTGAATCCGAAGCCGACGAGGTCGGCCACCGCACGGCACATCTGTCACCGGACCGCGCCAGCGCAAGAAAGAGTTTAAACTAATCGACCACCAGCTGGACGGGAGCGCCCTTTGCGCGAGCCCTTCCATGCGCCTGTCCATGCACCGTCCCCCGTGCTCCCGCTCCCCCTTGCCTGGTAACACCGTGGACCACTTCCACGGAGGCAACGCCCGATCCTGCACACATGTCCCCTGCCTGCCTCCCACCGGATATCCGGTCACCGCCCGGTGGGCCTCACCCCCCGTCACACCACGCACGCACGCAACTCGAGGCCCAGCCAGGGGCGAACCTGGCCAAGGCTCGAACCTTCTCTCCTTCTCGGCTTGGCTTCCTCTCCTTCCTTCCTCTTCCTCTTCCTCTTCCTCTTCCCCTCCACGCGATCGAAACCGAAGCCCGAGTCAATCAATCCTCCACCCCGTTCCAGCCTTCTCCAGGCGCCCCGCCCCTCCCCGACCCCGCGTCGCGGAGCCGCCCCGATCCGCCTCCCGTCTCCTCCTGTTGGCGTCCCCCTTTCCCCGCGCGTGCGTTGGCCGGCTGGTTCCCGATGAGGGGGTTGCTGGCGGTGGAGGCCGGGGGCGCGGCGGCGTCGTCGGCCTCGGCCTCGGCGCTCAACGGCGCCGTGGACTGGTGGCGCGACGTCAACGAGTCGCCGCTGTGGCAGGACCGCATCTTCCACGCGCTCGCCGTGCTCTACGGCATCGTCTCCGCCGTCGCGCTGGTAAGCACCCTCCCGCGCCCCCTTCGCTGCCCTGACCCCCTCGTCTGGTCCGATCTATCAGAATTGCGCGATGGTAGGATTTTTCTGTCGGTTTCTGTTGGTGTTCGGATCGATTGCGCGCGCTGGTTTGATTTGTGGCCGCGCAATTTTGAAGGACCTGGGGAATTGTGGGACGGATTGAGAGAAGGCAGCACTGTAACGTCCGCCGAGAATTCTGAATCCGCGGTGTTTAATTTCTCTTGCAGATCCAATTGATCAGAATCGAGTGCAGGGTGCCAGAGTATGGGTGGACAACGCAGAAGGTGTTCCATTTCTTAAACTTCCTCGTGAACGGCGGTGAGCCAGGCATTTGTGCTGATTGCATTACTTTGCTTCCGCTGGGTGTTTGATTTGGTGGGCTGATCAATGTGAATGCTCTATTCCTGCTTTCAGTGCGGTCCGTCGTCTTCGTGCTGCGGCGAAATGTGCAGCTCGTGGAGCCTGAGGTTTGTAGCTGGTTTCATGATTATACTGTACTTTGTGTAATGGATTTGTTGGAGGTCTTGAGTAATGGTTTGAAGCAATGTGGTGCCACAGATAATACAACACGTGCTTCTCGATATGCCCGGGCTTGCGTTCTTCACAACATATGCACTTTTAGTGCTCTTCTGGGCAGAGATTTATTATCAGGTACCTCGTTTTGTCTCTGATAGACCTGTGTCTTGTTTTGTCAATGTTGTTGCACCTCTTAATTTTTGCTCCTGTTCTGTAGGCACGTGCAATGTCGACTGATGGGCTTAGACCAACTTTCTATTGGATCAATAGCGTGGTCTATGCAATTCAGGTGATAAACCTGTCATTTAACTCATAATTTAGGTTGGACTTCAGAAAGATATATGCTGTGGTAATTTAATACTATATATGGCAATGTGCACTTTATAGTGTTGTGCTATGGACATTGATCACATCAAAAGTTTTAATAGTCTATGAAAGAGCATGTCAGGAACCAGGCCAATCCTAGGATTCCTGACCATCTGTCCACATGAGGACATGCCTGTCTGTCATTGTTGTTAGCCTGCAAAACTAGCAAATCCTTCTGGACGCCAAGTACTGTGATACCTTCCTTTACCAATGAGGAAAAATATCGTGTAAACATATTTAGTGCACTATCTTAACTGCCATCCCATTAGGGTACACAATTGATAAATGCTAGGCCAGAAACCTCAGTAGTACATGCTATTATTGTCAAGTCTGATTTCTTGATGAAAACTGGAAAGTAGTCACACTGGGTGTGTTGTGTATGCATTTTTGTTTGATACATGCAAGATTGGAACATTCTGGTTTCTGGACTCATTTGGTATCAATGAATTTCAGATAATTCTATGGTTGGTTTTGTGGTGGAAACCAGTTCGAGTTATGGTCATCTTGTCAAAGATGTTCTTTGCAGGTAATCCATGTTTCATTTCCCCTTTTCCATCAATCTATCCCTATATCCCTTTGACAGCGGAAAAATCATGGGCATATGCATCTTGGAATTCATGAAGTGCGATTAATTTTCATCTTATGTAGTACAAATTTACAATTATATTGAGGACTCATGGAAATTTTTATTGGTAAAAATTTGTCAAAGTAGATTTTAGAAACAGTCGTTGTGAAACATTGGTTTGTGGTATCTGTTATTGCCTTATTAGCAGGGAATGACTTGAAGACCACACCACATTAAAGCTGCGATTGGCTTTTTTCAGCTTCTTGGCCTTTTCAGCTGATAGCGTGCTATGTTTTTCAGGTGTATCACTATTTGCAGCCCTCGGGTTTGTTCTCTATGGAGGAAGGTAAATTTTTCTGGCTTCACTTTGCCCTAACAAATTGATGATATTCTCCTGAAAACCCAGTAACATTCGTTGCTCTCTTTAATGATGTTATGTGTGAAGCACCATGGTCTTACTACACCATTGTCCTAATAGAGTATATCAAATGCCTTCTTTTGCTTAGATGGTAGTAGAGTTCAGACCATAGTCACAAGGTTTCATGGTCGATGGGGTCGAGGTACGGGGTCGCGGTACGTGGTACGCTACTCACGAAAGATTTCTATACTTCGGGTCGAAAATGAACCCGTGAACCTGGGTCCGGGTCGACGAACCCGGGTCGAGGGTCGAAGGTGGTGAACCCGTTTTATGTGACTATGATTCTGACCAAATTTCCACTAAAAGATCCAGAGCAAGACTTGCATTCTGTAATCACCATTTTTCAAGCAGAATCAGGATGCGTAGAAGTGGTTTTCTACACTAGTCATAAATACCCATTGCTATACTAGGATGCTTGTGAGATCTTCCCTTGCTTCTTGATTTGTAGCATATTTTATCATCCTAAGTATGCATGTTGTACAGTTTAACCCTTCATTGATTGAGATGGCTTTTGATGTTCTGTCTGCTTCTGTAGGTTATTCCTGATGTTGCAGCGTTTTCCTGTAGAATCAAAAGGAAGGCGAAATAAATTGCAGGAGGTACACTTTTGATTCTGCTGGTCTGAAATTTTTGGATATTTCTGTACAAATTATACGCTAATTATGTATTCTGCATACCTCGATGCAGGTTGGCTATGTGACTACCATCTGCTTTTCTTGTTTCTTGATCAGATGCGTCATGGTAAGCAATTGCATTTTCTTTGGACTGGTCACTATTACTTCCTCCATTCCAAATTATAAGACGTTTTGGCTTTTCTAGATACATAACTTTTGCTATACCCTTAGATATACACTATGTTTAGATACATAGTACTCCCTCCGTTCCAAATTCCAAATTATAAGACGTAAGGGCGGGCCTGGTGCAAGCGGTAGAGTCTTACCGCCTGTGACCAGAAGGTCCCGGGTTCGAGTCGCGGTCTCCTCGCATTGCACAGGCGAGGGTAAGGCTTGCCAGTAACACCCTTCCCCAGACCCCGCACAGAGCGGGAGCTCTCTGCACTGGGTACGCCCTTTATTGCTTTTACTATGTATCTAAATATAGGGTATATCTAAATGCATAGCAAAAGCTATGTATCTAGAAAAGCCAAAACGTCTTATAATTTGGAACGGAAGGAGTAAAAGAAATGTATCTAGAAAAGACAAAACGTCTTATAATTTGGAACAGAAAGCCAAAACGTCTTATAATTTGGAACAGAGGGAGTACCAATTATGTTGGTAGGTATCTCAAAGGAATCCGCTAACTTAAGCATGTATATTGCAGATGTGCCTTAATGCATTTGATAAAGCAGCAGATCTTGATGTTCTGAATCATCCAATCCTGAGCTTCTTCTTTTACCTGGTATGAATCTTGACGGTGTAAAGCACTTAACCTTACACAGTTTGGATTGCATCAATCTTTAGATTTTTTCTATAACCAAGTGTCATTTATTTGGTAGTAATTTTAAAATCTACGGTAGATATGTTCAGTAGTTTTAGTTTGACATCCAATAAATCGAAATATCATTGGAGTGTATAGATTATTGCATATGCAGATGCAAGTTCTTTTTGTGATCTTTAATGGCACATACTCTCTCCATTCCAAATTGTAGGTCGTTTTGGCTTTTCTAATACATAGCTTTTGCTATGCACCTAGTATGTTTAGATACATAGTATATGTATCTAGAAAAGTCAAAACGACTTGCAACTCAATTTGAAAAGGAGGGAGTACCTTCTAGCCCTTGGTCAAACAGCTAAGGGAATCAAATTATCCTTTTCCAATTTACTGACAGAATTCACCTGCTGCGACTGCAGCTGGTTGAGATAGTGCCTTCGGCTCTGGTGCTCTTCATTCTACGGAAACTGCCTCCAAAGCGTGGGATCACACAATACCACCCGATCCATTAGAGAGCAGGCCTTGGTGGACAGGCAAAGGTTTTCTGGTGGATAGTCTTACACAGCATGGTAAATACAGAAGGCAGAGTGAAAAGTACCACCCTTGCTCACGAGCTTGCCCAGCTTTTTATACGAGGAAAGGCTTTAGAATCTCAGGTTGAAATTCTGTGTAAAAATGCAATCTCTTTCTCTCAGATTTAGAAAATGTAACTTATATAACTTTGTTATTCTCAGTGCATATCATCTGTTCACATCGCAGTAATTGTTTGCGTGTTTCTTTTGGTCCTCTGCCTCCTCACCTTTGCTGAACAAGAACAGTTAATCCTCCTGGAGTACATGGATGTGATTCGATCAGTTGAGCTCGATCGTTATTCGCTGGAAACTGTTCGGACCATCCACATCTGAAACCTGGATATACTTAAAAAAAACATTTTGTCGACGGGTAATTTTGGTCAGTTTCTATGGCTAGCTACCGCAGCATCAAGGAATCCGGATCACTATACCCTTTCTCCCTCGTCCTGTCACTTACGTGTGGGTCCCCAGGATAGTGGACTGGAGGCACCGCCAGATCTCCTATCCCCTTCCCTTAAAAGTTAGGCTGTGTTTAGTTCGTGAAATAAAATTTTTTAGATGTCATATTAGATGTTTTGGGAATATCGGAAGGGGTTTTTGGATACTAATAAAAAAAACTAATTACATAGCTCGTCTGGAAACTGCGAGACGAATTTATTAAGTCTAATCAATCCATCATTAGCGCATGTTAGTTACTGTAGCATTTATGACTAATCATGGACTAATTAGTCTTAAAACATTCGTCTCGCGATTTCCAACCAAACTGTATAATTAGTTTTTTTTTATCTATATTTAATACTTTATGTATATATCGTAAGATTCGATGTGATAGTTTGGGGTGAAAATTTTTAGAAACTAAACCAGGCCTTAGTATAGGGGATGGTGAAAACTTCCAGATTATAGGAGAGCTTGTGCAGCATATTGAGAAGACTCCATGTTTTCTTTATGTGGGGTCCATATGTTAGTGTCATCTCTCTCATTTCATCTCCCTCCTCTCTCTTTCTCTCCCTTTGTCGTAGCAACGAGGCGAACGAGCGCGGCGCGGTCAGCCTGCGCACCCCGCGTGGCTAGCCCTCCGCGGCGGCTAGCCTGTGCACCCGGTGTGGTGGTGGCCAGCTCGCGCCCCCAGGCTGGCGCTTCTTTTTTTTTTAATAAGGCTGGAGCTGGTTCCGTTGATGCACCGTGTACCCTTCTTTCTGGACGGACTAGTGGAGCGCGACTAAACCGTCAGTCCGTCACTAATTTGCCGTCACCATTTTGCCCGCGGGATGCGACTGATATTTGCGCGCTGTTTGCATCGCTCATAAGCCGTACTTTTTCAGTCAGCGAATAGTAGTTTTCTCTCACAACAAATCAGCCAACAGTTAACCTGTTTAGCTGGATTTATACGATCATATACGATCGTGGATTATAAGCTGAAACCGTATTTTTTTCTCACATCAAACCAGCCAGCAGTAAATAATCCACGATCGTATACGATAAAACGAACAGGCTGAGTACTTTCAGCCATGGCTTATCAATAAGCGAACAGGCATTGCATTGGTACTTGGTCGTCGAGGAGAACGGCAAGCGGTCCGAAACAGACAACAGAACAGGTCAAGTCCGAATGTCTGATAAAATTTCTCTAGTGATACCACACCAAGCCTGACACATGGAACGGGATTACTGAACAGCTAACAAGGGAAATGAAAAAAAAGATAGACATATCCCCTTCAAAAAAAATTGCATTCTTTCTTACTGCTCCAAGTTATTATACACCCTACTGTTCCAGTAGGTTTCCAGCCAAAAGGAAGATTCTGGTCATTACATGCTTATTATGCACAGGTTTCCATCATAGGAATATCAGAAGATTATATAGCCTATACAGAGCAGAAAAAGAAAGGTAACATATCAAAATTCAGAAGGTGTCTAGCTATCTTGTTCTACGGTTTCAGGTTTATTTTCTGTGCTGTCCTGGTGTACTGACGATGTTTCTGCGGCGCACGAGTCTGTTTTTCCCGTACCTCGCTGCTCAGGAACAGGCAGTTCATGTGAAGCAGCTCCAGAACTGCCATCCGGACCCTGAAATGGTGCATCTGATGGCCCTACTTTACACAAGTCAGCTTCCATCCCCCTAGGCTCTCCAGAACTGCCATCCAGAACCTGATATGGTATATCTGATGCTTCTGCTTCACGCAAATCTATTCCCACCCCACCCTGCTCAGGAACAGGCAGTTCATGGGAAGCAACTCCAGAATTGCCATCCTGTGTGGTACAAAGAGGTTCAACTGCACTTTGTAGTGTTATTTCTGAGGACTCATCCTGCATTGGTAAATCTGATGATTCAGCTTCACATACACCTCTCTTCACCGCTCCCTGCCCAGGAGCATGCTGTTCATGGGAGGGAGCTCCAGAACCACCATGACACTCTGGCCCAGGAGGTTGATCTACAGTTTCAGGTCTCCTTTTCGTGTTGTCCTGTTGCGGTGAATCTGATGATTCTGCTCTACACCAGTTCCTCTTTGTCCCTTGCTGCCCAGGAGCTAGCAGTTTGTGGGATGCAGTTTCAGAACCGCCATTCTGCACCTGACAGTGAGATTCTGTCCAACGGTAAACAAACCGTTCATGCCATCCTCTCGTATCTCCTCTCCCGTGGCAGGAAGTTCTTCCTCTGCCTCGACCACCAATTCGACCATGTGGCGCTTGTCGTTCAATACTATTGAATTGCCTGTGTCCATTGGCCCTACCAAATTCAGAATCTGTAACTCCATATGAACCAAACCTTTGTTGGAAAGGCCCTTTGTTCTGAAACTCAGGATAAACAGATCTATTCTGAAATTCGCAGTTGTAGTAGGTTCCTGGAGCTTGCCATGCGTCAAGAACACTAATTTGGTCGTGTGATTCTTCCCTATAAGCTGATCTAGGAGTATGCCTTCCATTGCCTGCTTGAAAACTACTACTGCACAGGGGTTCACGTGACAACCTGACATGGGGTTCTGGCCCAAGATGCTGCTTGGACCATCCTCTATACCCTTCCAGAGGAGAGCCATGCGAGTCACTCGAAGCATTGTAGTTGTTGAACCGATTTTGATTAGCAGGCACAGCTCCGGATTGATTATTGTAGTGACCACTGCAAAAGGGTTCGTCTTGCTGAAAGCGAGTTCTGTACCTTTCCTCTCTACTAGCTGAGAAATTATTGGTCCTTCGACATGCATTTGGTCCCTGATCATGGGATTTGGTCATGCTCCATGCATTGCTAGAAGCTGGACGCTCATTCCATCTTCTTGGTGGGCTGTTCCTGACAGCCATCACATCGCGTGTTGATGACCAAGATGGAGCTCCATTTGCGCGACTATTCCTCTGATAAAGTGCAGAAAGAATGATGTAAGGCATTTGGATCAACAGAACTTTGCAAACAAAAATGTATTAGGCTGCTAATCTTATGAGGGAAAATAGATTACTCTAGTATAAATGATAATGTTGCTGAACAACAGAATATGACTGGACAAGAAACACTGGAAATATTATAGTTAGTATAGCATAGCCAGAAAATCCAAACTAGTGATCTTTCAAGCACACTATGATATTACTTCACTCATCCTATATTAATATTTCTCACTCCAGGATGTTTTAGATATGGTTTCAGGGAAGCAGCGCTCGAACAAGATTAGAAGGCTCCTGATGGCACCACCCTGAAGACCTGATTGCGCCACCAAGAGCAGCAAGTTAGTGACCCTCAATGCCTTCACAACTCCAAGTCCTATATGTATCCTTGAGTAGACACAAAGAGTATAACCATAGTGTAGGGTGTAGGGATGTAATAATTAATTGTAAGATTCACTTATTATGGTTTTGTTAAAGAGGAGGAGCAGGAAACAATCACATACTATCAAGGAAGTAACTACATGCCTAACAAGAAGGATACATAGAGCTTTTTTTGCTTCACAAAAAACTAGATTCCAGAATACCTGTTCTCTTCGATTCCATTGCTCAGGCTTAGTTGCAGACCTGACTACTTCTGCTAAGTCCTTATCCTTAAAAGCATCAAAGAAACATCCGCGCCTTTTTGAATCACGGACTAAATCAGCCCATATTGAATTGCTAGCCAGTAAAGTAGTTCCATTTCCAAGGATCCAAAGGCAGTACCTGTTATGGCAGAAACATAGCAATTACTGAACTGAAAATGCAGTGGAACAGTGTTTTAACTGTAACTTCACTATACTAGGTGTCTATGGCAACATACTTGGCTCTTGTCAAAGATACATTGATTCTCCCAGAATCAGAGAGAAAGCCTACTTTCCCATCTTTATTGGACCTAACTGTTGAAATCAATATAATGTCCTCCTCACCACCTTGAAATCCATCAATAGATTTTACTGTAACAGATAGAAAGTCATGCTTCTCAAACTTTCGTCCAAGTCTATCTTGCAATGCAATCACTTGAGCTGTATAAGGAGATATTACACCAACACTTGTTCTCTGCCTCTTCTCAGTGCACTCTACAGTTGTTTTAGGCAAAAGAAAAGGACACTAGTTAGCTTTATCCAAAACTCTGGAGAACAGACAATCTAGCCAATAAAATATTTCTTTCAGAAACAAAGTCACCTAATAAAAAAATAAAAAGAATGCAAAACATGATGAACAGATGACCTTGGCAGTATGCAATGAAGCATGGTGACCAATATCTAGACTAAGATTGTATGGTTTGTCATTTTGTGCTAGTTGAGCAAGTGCAGAGAATAAACAAGTTATATATGCATGTCTTTCCAAAGATGGCAGCGTGGAACCCAATATTTCGACTCTGGTAAAGAAGAGGTCATCTCCTATCCTCATCATAATACCAACAAAATAAAATAAGCAAATATAAGGCCAAAGTACATAGGTCATAAAGATACACAGTATTATTATTCCCAACCACTTCTTTCCATTAACAACAGGTCAACAGCTCCTTTTCAAAGTACAAAATACTGATATGAGTAGAATGATAAAATGTTTCATACTGAATTACAAGTCAGACCTGACATCATCACTGAGGTAATCCATGTTAAAAGGTTTATTAAGCATCAGTAAGTAGGTTTATCATGCCATCAAGGTATAAAACCATCTTAGTACAGTTCTAATTTTTTCAGTGTGTTATGTGAAGGCTAAAGCCTTAAAATGTACCTTTGGCAAGTCTTTCGACTATATTGGCTGCTACAGCAACCTCAGCCATATTTTTGGAACTCTGACCAAGGCTATCAAGCATTTCCATGTCATTATCAATATGAATAAATGAATATGCACCATAAATAGGTCCAGGTAGATAACTCTTGGCATAGTCTTCCTGCTTGACAATGGGACCATCTGAAATCCGA